ACACAAACACTGACACGCAACAGCGAACCCACAACACACGCCATAATAATCTACATACACATATTTTATTACGTTTCATAACCGCAGGACAAGACAGTCAAAACGCCACATAAGATACAATGACCAGAAAGATGAAAACAGTCAGACAGACCAAAGCTTTGCAATTGAATGTGGAAACCACAATCAGGAGTGGGCTACATAAGTCAAGAACCATATTTTCGGTGAGCTTTCTCTATTTGTGTCAGATGTGGAATTGAATCATTCAATTGTCTTTAAATGAATGGCTCCTAAGCTGAGGTTACTTACCATTTTAAAAAAAGAAGAAAAATAATTATTAGTAAAAAAGAAAAGAAAAGAAAAAGTAAGGTGAACCAGTGTAATGGCGCTGAACACTGACAACAAAAAGGTTTCAATATTGTTCAGATTTTAAACAATATTTCATATATTTTGGTATTTGTGAAATTGCACTGAAATGGCTTAAAAGAGCATTTTAATCAGGAAAAATCAACTGGATGAGAAAATGGTCCAAGTAATAGTTAAAATTGTTAAAAAGCAAAACATTATTCAGTACATTTTAAATGACTAAAAGACAATAAACTTATATTTCCAGTTCAAAACTGTTTTTCAAATAAATGAACAAGGACGAATGAGGTAATGTGCCAATATGGAACGTAATATATGTATAGAACCATAGACTTCCATGAACAATTGAGTTATTATGCTAGATTGCTGAATCAGTGTTTGGAACAGATTCATTTAAAAGGGATTGGTGGAAATAAATCAAACCTTCCAATGCTATCTGCATCTTTTACTACTGATGTACTCTTTCTTAAAGCTCCAACAGGTCATGATGCAAAGAGTTTTATGGTTTTGTCATTTATATCGATTTACTTTGAGGCCATCTAATACTACCCATCAAAAGTTTGGGGTTAAGATTGTGAATGTTTTTAAAAGTCTCTTATGCTCGCCAAGGCTGTATGTATTTGATCAAAATACAGTTAAAACAGTAATATTGAGAAAAATTATTACAATTTAAAATAGGGGTTTTCCATTTTTATATATTTTAAAACATAATTTATTTCTGTGATGGCAAAGCTGAATGTTCAGCTTTATAACCCCATGCTTCAGTGTCACATGATCCTTCAGAAATCATTCCAATATGCTCATTTGGTGTTAAGAAACATTCCTTATTGTATGACAAAAATTGTGCAGTGTAATATTGTTTTTTGAAAACCAAGATACGCTGTTTTCAAGATGCTTTCATGAACAGCATTTATTGAAATAGTAATCTTTTGTAACATTATGAATTCCGTTACTATCACTTTTGATTAATTTAATGCATTCTTGCTGCAGTATTAATTTCTTTTAAAAAATCTGACACCAAACTTTTGAATGGTAGTGTATGTGTTAATGTAAAAGCAAACTAATAAATGTTGGAATAACTATGCCAAATAAACGGGCATACACATTAACAGTTTTCTTTTCTCTTCAGATGAAAACTATTGGCGACTTATCTTGCGCTCAGGGACACATAAAAATATGTTTCTAATAAAATTCTGTCGAGAATTTGCATGTTCCCACTAGTAGCAACCATGGTTAATAGTTCACTAAAGAATATTTTAAAAAACACTATAGAGAGATAGACAGTCTTTGGACAACAACAACAAGACAAAAAAAATCAAATGACAGCTAGCAAACTATATAGGAGAAAAGGCTAGAAAATTGGAGAGAAAAGAGGGAAGATTGAACAACAAAATGCTCAAGTTAGTTCATGCCCACATTTTGCAGAATTAGTAATACTGCTTAAAACAGTTACTTGTGCCAAAGCTGCATGTTTGAATGTGCACGAGAAGAGAAGAAGATAGTTTGTATAATACTCTGCCAGTTAATTGAGACTGTAGAGGTTTAAAGAGGTTCATCTTCCTCTGGGCATGTCACATTATCTTTAGCAATTGGCTCACCGACACACACACACACTTCATCACTGTATCCCCTGTAGCCATCACACCATGCGGACATTTCATTAAAATAACTGACGTCCACAGAAAGCATCATCGAAATAAGTTTGACCCAAATGAATCTGACCTAATCTGCTCCTAACCTATGACTGAACAACACCTTAGTGAACCGTAAGGGACGGGGCCCAGCACAGACAGGGGCCGTGAAGCGGTGGCAATGTCCTGCCAGGGTGTGTGTCATCTGTGCCAGAATTCAGTCGTGCTGTGAGTTCACCGCAGGGCGTGTGGCACGGGTTGGGCGGGCAGCGCCAAACTCTCTCCTCTCTATCATTTTCCATGTCCCTCGCTTCTCCACTCAAAACAAAAACCGCTGACTGGAGCTGCTTCACAGAACGGATCGTCTGAAAATGTTTCGTTCCATATTTCTTGAGTGAATTTCTTGGCCTCTAATTTTGACTCTTCAAAAAAAAAAAAGTAAGTAGAGAAAGTAGAGCGAAACGATGGCGACAAAAAGGGACAGTAACTATGGAAAAACTCCACAGCAGGGTCGAGAGACACTAAAACCAAAGCTCAGTGGCCGTCCTGAGCCAACAGTGCTTTTATTTTCAGACCGGCCATTAAATAAACTGTAATGCCGCCAAAGATTAAATCTCAGACAAAAAGAATGTCTGATAACCAGGTTTATGTTGTCTGATACCCAATTTTAGAAATGACATTCAAATTTGCGAAGGGAAAACGGATTGCTTTTGCTTGATATACGGTTTTATGTTTTGTTTTTAGATACAGCAGTGTAGGAACTATTCGAAAACCTACATTGTAAATCTCAACAGTTTCACAGTTTTAAATGTCTTAGCCAATGATGCACTGACGTGGCATACCTTCTATAAGCTTAAACATAAGATTTTCGATAAATGTGCATACCTTTCTTTCACATTTTTGTCCACAACATTGTTGCAACAACGATGAATATATTTTTTTTGTTAAAATTGACTTGTATAATATAAGATTTTCCAAAAAAGGAAAATTTAATCCTTTCTACACTGTACAAAATCCTATTAAATGTACTGTAAAAAGGCTGTGGTTGGTAGAAATTAAATATAAACCGTAACAAAAAATGTACAGGATGGCATATTGGTGACTGAATATTTGATCAAATATAACCATATACTCACCGGACATTTTTTAGGTACACCTGTTCAACTGCTTGCTAATGCTAATGCACATATTTAATCAGCCAATCACATGGCAGCCACTTAATGCTTTTAGGCATGTAGACATGTAGACATGATCAAGACGATCTGGTGAAGTTCAAACTGAGCATCAGAATGGGGCAGAAAAGTGATACAAGTACATTTACATTTATTCATTTAGCTGACGCTTTTTATCCAAAGCGACTTACAATTGCTATATATGTCAGAGGTCGCACGCCTCTGGAGCAACTAGGGGTTAAGTGTCACAGTGGATTCGAACCCGGGTCTCTCACACCAAAGGCATGCGTCTTATCCACTGTGCCATCACCACCATATAAGTGACTTTGAACTTGTTGTTGGTGCCAGACGGGCTGGTCTGAGTATTTCAGAAACTGCAGATCTACTGGGATTTTCACGAATAGCCATCTCTCGGGTTTACAGAGAATGGTCCGAAAAAGAGAAAATAACCAATGAGCAGCAGTTCTGTGTGCGAAAATGCCTTCTTGATGCCAGAGGTCAGAGGAGAAATGGCCAGACTGGTTTGAGCTGATAGAAAGGCACAGTAACTCAAATTGTTAGAACTGAGGTCTGCAGAGGAGCATCTCTGAACTCACAACACTTCGAAATTTTGAAGCAGAAGAACACACCGGGTGCCACTCCTGTCAGCTAAGAACAAGAAACTGAGGCTAATTCACACGGCTCACCAAAATTGGACAATAGAAGATTGGAAAAACCTTGCCTGGTCTGATGAGTCTCGATTTCTGCCGCAACAGTCAGACGGTAGGGTCAGAATTTGGCATAAACAACATGAAAGCATCGATCCATCCTGCCTTGTATCAACGGTTCAGGCTGCTGGTGGTGGTGTAATGGTTTGTGGGATATTTTATTGGCACACGTTGGCCCCTTCGTACTATGTCAATCCCTTTATACCTTTATACAGTATACCCATCTTCTGTTGGCCACTTCCAACACTGGTTTCTTGAACATGACAATGAGTTCACTTATACTCAAATGACCTTCACAGTCACCAGATCTAAATCCAATATAGAGCACATTCGGGATGTGGTGGAACTGGAGATTCGCTTCATGGATGTGCAGCCGACAAATCTGCAGCAAATGTGTGATTCGATCATGTCAATATGGAAATCTCTGAGAAATGTTTCCAGCACCTTGATGAATCTATGGCACGAACAATTAAGGCAGTTCTAAAGGAAAAAGTGGGTCCAACCCGGTGCTAGCAAGGTGGTACTTAATAAAGTGGAAAGTGAGCATATATTTCATTAAATGATTTAATGTTAATATACCAAAATCTGCTTTTTAGCTTAAAATGTACTAATTACAACCATGATAATTCAGGTGATACAACAGAACGCCACATGACGAAACAGTTCATTGTAAGTCCATAAAACATGACCAATACTCATATAGACAGTGCACAGGGTCATTCAAACAAAAACAAAACACTAGGATAACACACAACGCTGAAATAATACAATAAACAAACTAATTAATACATACAAAACACTCTAGAGGGTTATTATTACTGATAGCAAAAAATAAGAAGAAACTAAACCGGGATTTGTGGAATATAATTAATAACTTTTACTTGCAAAAAACTTGCTAACATTTTATAGTAAAATTACATAGATGTGATGTTAAACAACTCTACATGGTTACGAATGGGTAACTGTAATAGTTAACCAATTTACAGATTAAAAAAAAGAAAAAATCTTTAAAAATGGCAAACATTTTCATGTAATCCACAAATGTAGGCCGTACCAGAGGGTGGAAAAGTTATTCATTTTTCTCATCTTGTTTGTTTGTTAATAGCACGTGAAGGTGATAAACGTACCTTGTCAGGCGCTGTGGTTGAGGGCGCTCCCCAAACTTCCTGTATAGAGAGAAAAACACTTTAGAAGAAATTCAACCACGATACAAACAAAAACATTTGAGAGCAAAAACACACAAATAATTGAGAGCAGTACTACTGTAAAAAACACAGTCCCGTTTCCCATCACTCAACGAGGGCCAAACACATTCACGCACTCAAATGTGCCGCAACGGGCAAACACACACACCTGTCCACTATTTGAGATTAGCAGGCTTGCAGCTGTTGTAGTGACCTTGTGAGAGCGCATTCACATGACCATGTGTACAAACACACACACAGGTGGCCGAAGTAAACCACTTTCCCATTCTGATTACATCCAACAGGCTAATTATCACAGGAAAGCCGTCTAAAGACACAGTTTAGTGATACCTGCTGTCAAACATACATCACTTAAACGAATGTTCCGGGTTAAACGCAAGTTTAGCTCTCGGCACAGACTTCACTTAGTGAAAACAAGCATAAATCACATTTACAGTAATGAACTTATAATGGAAGTCTATAGGGCAAGGCATTCTCTGGGATAAAGGTTAAAAAGTCCACAGTTTTGAAAGACGTCTTGTGTTAACATGAATATAGCATGATAAAATTGATAAATCTGTGATGTAATATCCAATATTTTAACCTTTATAGAAACCACAAATAACACATTGAATAAAAGATGACATTTTGAAGTATCAAGGCTGAAATAGTATTTAGGTTTCTGCAGGTTTTTTGAAGACCTTTTTAAGACCAACCAAAGAAATTTTAACGGATAAATTGTAGGGAACACAATATGTCAATATGTTCTTTAAATGTCTATAGGGAGAAACACAATAAGTTGTATTAGAAATATTCCATGAGATATCCATTTCTTTTTAATTCATTTTAGAAAAAAATAATCTTAATTCAAGATAGGCTACATTTAGTTTGTAATGCAAAGTCTCATCGGCCAATGAGCTCATAACTTAATTCAAATGGAAGTTTCCAACTCATTGATAGATACATTTGTCCTTGTTTTAAGCATAAACTTACTTAAAATTAAAACATCATTTTACATTCACATCTCAAGTAAATGTATTTTAATTTAAGAATGTTTAGATATTTGTATTGGAAAGCAAGACAAAAATACTGAAGATATAATTTTTTTCCAAGGCATGCAACATGCCATAACTTTATGAATGTAAGGCCTTTTTAAAGGGGTCATATAATGGTACATGCACTTTTACAAGTTGATTGTACTGAAATGTGTGTTGGCGGTGTCTGTACACAACCATTATATAATGATAAAAATCCATTAACTAATCCAAAAATCCATAAACCATGATTTTGTTTTAATCTCCTTATATGTTTTCCCCTGCCTCAAATCAAGCCGTTCGAGCCTGTGACGTCACACGCTCGGAAGCCCCTCCCACGATTGTTGATTGACAGGAGCGTTTCAACACAGACCCGCCCTCGCTCATGAGGGAGCTGTCAATCATAGTCTGCGCGGCGCGGACCGGCGCGCTCATTGTTGATATGCTGGAGCACTGTCTATGAGCAGAATGGCGTCTAAGCGATTGTGGTGTTCTGTTCTTGGGTGCAATAAGGAACACAGCAGTCATTTTAATGTTCCTAAATCCGAACCGCTTAAGACGCAGTGGCTGAGTTTGTTTTCGAAGGGAATATTCCCCACGAGCAACGTCAATGCTCTCATGTTTGCGCGAATCATTTCTCTCACCAGACTGCTTTATAAACGAGGATCAGTATAAAGCTGGATTTGCTAAGAAGCTGCTCATGAAAAAAGGATCGGTACTACCAGCTATTCGTGTTCCTGCTGAATCTCCAGAAGAACGGAAGTGAGTGTAACGTTTTATTAAACTTTATATTAACATATTAATCTTTGCAAATCGCTAGCTGCACGCTTCACAATGAATGCGTCTAAGGTTTACACTCAGGGTACATTACGGCATGTTTTCTATGTATGACGTTCTCAATATAATTCATAATCCCACGTTTATACTGAACAACGCGTTATGGTTATTGTGTTATTGAGTTACAAATGGTGTACGCACAGCACAGAGAGGCGGGGTGAGCAAAGCTCATTATGATTTAAAGGCATATGCACTGAAACGGCGTGCTGAAAACAGAGCTGTTCTTGACCAGGTAAAATAAGTGTTTTCTTACAATACTAATGAGAATTTTTAATTAAAGTATATTACACACTTTTAATTTAGACCCTAAAGAATCATATTAGCTTGTACAAAAATGGCATTATATGACCCCTTTAAGGCCTTTATTTGTGTAAGGGCGAATTAAGACTTTAAGACAAGCGGAAAGCCTGTTTCAAGTAAAACATACTCCAAAAATCGTAGTTTTATTTGCAACGTAATTTTTTTTTTTACTGTCAATACGTTTTGTTTTGTTTTTCAGTCCAAGTGCTAAAAGGACACATTCTTGAGTAAAAAAATAAAATAAATACAAGCTTCACACTTTTCTGCTTTTAAAACCTGCCGAATGTGTTCCTCCATAGACTAGAAGTAAATTCAGTTATTGTAAGTATTTTTTTTTTAACTGAATTATTTCCATGTCACTGATGCTGTCAATTAAGCTTATTTAGCTATAAATCCGGAACATTTCTATAAGTAGTAAAATGATCCCAATCAGAAAAGCAACACAGCAGTTTTAAGAAAAGCCCGATGATGGCCGCACATTCCGTGATATTTCACGTCAGGCAGACGAAAGCTTGTTTCTTCGAAATGTCACAGTGAATTGTAGAGTAACAGATCATCAGAGTACAGTAATGAGGAACATTGATTGTATTGTTTCACTTTTGCTTGTGACCTCATTTCAAAAGGACCTGAAGGCCTGTCGTGACCCCATCTGTTTGAAGCTGTAACTATAGAGACTCCACAACTGTTATTACTTCAAATCTAACCCAATGACTACCGTGCCCAAGACAATACTGGCCCCGTTCCAATCAGTTCCAATCCCAGAATCCAACGAAAAGAGCTTAGTGGAGATAATCCTCCAAATGAAATCAGAAAGAAAAAAAAAAAACGATGGTAACACTTTAGTTAGGAGTTCAATTCTCACTATTAACTAGATGCTTAATATCATGCATATTACTAAGATATTGGCTGTTTATTAGTACTCATTAAGCACATATTAATGCCTTACTCTACATGACCATATTCTACATCCCTTAATCCTACCCAATACATAAACTTAACAACTATCTTACTAACTATTAATAAGAATTAACTAGGAGTTTATTGAGACAAAAGTCGTAGTTAACTGTTCAGTTCCAAAGTGAGGCTCAGTGCATTTCATTATTATAATGATCAAATATTAGTTTTTTATTTAGCAGTACAATTGTGATTTACAATGATAAAATATTTCAGTCTTCATTTTTATACTACTACTATTGCTACTACTATTTTTAATATCGACATCAGAGAACAGTGAACATTGTGAATGTGTCAATAGTTTATTGAAATATTAACTTAAAATCTCTTAAGGTACTTCAATTAAATATTTTATGTCTAAAGGGGTTCAGCAGACAAAAAAAAAAAAAAGAAAGAAAGAAAGAAAAAGGGAAAAAGGGTTAGAAACTCCAGACCTATTGATGTAATATCATGAGAAAAAGAGTTCGAATGTATGAGTGTATCAGCACAGCTTAATAAAATCAGGTTCATTTCGGTTAGCAAGCTAGGTAACTTACTTGGAAAGTGAGGCAGCTACACACAGGTTTGAGCCAACATATGTTTCGCTTTGTAAATGACAACATGAGCATATTTGGAGCAAAATATACGTCAGTATTTTTGAGTAATTTCGCCATTCGCTTGTTTGACACTGTTTTAGTAAAGCAAAACACAGGGTCACAAGGAGCTCTGCTGAGGGTTGCGCCCGTGGCGTAGTCTTTACGGTACAGCTCATCCCAGGGGTCCGTGCTAAACTGACAGCAGCCTTGAGGCCAAAGCTGAGTGGAGACAGTGACTGTGGAGGGTTTAAAATAGAAGAAGAGAGAAAAATCAATGGCTGGAGCTTCCTGATCCAGCTCCACTGAACCTCAGGGACTTACAGGAAGATCTCAAATCAAGTCACGCAGCCACTGCCACGAGACCAGAGAAGACCACCGCAGACACAATGACAACAGCCGCATATGACAAAGTATTAAAGTACAAAAGTATAAAGTATTAAAAAAATATATGAATTGTATATTCCCCATTAATATTGCAATTGCACTTAATTTAGATTAATACATCACAAGATTTAGTATGTGTGTGTCAGCTGCATGCCATATTCTTTTATGAATATATCCAAAGAAAGTTGAGATGTGCATTCCTGAAATACACTACCATTCAAATGTTTGAGGTCAGTACAGTTTTTTTTAAGAATTAATACTTTTAATCAGCAAGGTTGCATTCAATTGACCAAAAGTGACAGTAAAGTCAATGATAATGTTACAAAAGTTTCTATTTAAAATAAATGCTGTTCTTCGAACATTCTATTCAAACTAATTCAGCATGATTTGTGAAGAATGACACTTAAGTAATGACTGCTGAAAACAGAAATAAATTACAGTTCAAAATATATTACATTGTTAAAAAAAACACTTATTTAAAACTCTAACAATATTTCACAATATTACAGTTGTTACTGATTTTTTTATCTAATAAATACAGCCTTGGTGGGCAGAAAGATTCTTTCAACAAAATCTTACTGACCCCAAACTCTTATAGTATTGTTCATACCAATATAAATTTAATACAGCAACTTTTAGCGACCAGTGGGAAGATATTATTTACTTTTACAGAAACTGAGTTAAAAACATGCAGAAATGGCAGCCTGAATCAAACATGACACATTATCTATCAAGTTTTCAAAAGCGATTCCTAAACTTGTCTGCTTTTGAAACATCTGTATGCACACCTCAAAATTGAACAAATGGTCGAGTCGACTTTAATTGCTTGAAGGATTAAATGTGTTAATCATGGCGGCCGTAATCATAATTTCATTTAACAGACAATCAATTGATCAGC